CCCCACCTCTGCCATCCTCTCAAAAACATGACCAACAGGGACACTTTGGTGTTTCCATCCTGGGCACCCTAACCTCCCCACTAATGCCCATTTCAGCAGGAGGCAGGAAGTGACTTACGGAGGATTCTCTCCAGCGACTCACACCTTCTGACTTCATTCACAAATTTCCTTTGGAAGCTGTTCACGTTCATGTTCAGCTAGGGAAAAGGAAAAGCCCCACAAGCTGCGCTTAGTGGCAACAGCTGTCAATACATTCCATTTGGTTATTATTTTTCTTTTGTAATACTGGAGAATATTGCTGGAATTGTCTTACGAAAAGGTCTTTACACACACAAGGCAGGTGGGCTAGAGGCAAGCCACACCTTGCAATTTGAACTCTCAATCTCCCATAAGCCTGCACCCTGGCCCTCTCATTGCTGAGAGACCCAAAGTCACCTCTGTCCAAGATTTCCTTCCTTTCGGCACGTTTGCTACCCAATCAGCCTGTGAAGTCCCCAGTGGAGTCACGGATATGGTAGGACTTTAAGGATGGCCCAGCCATCAACAGCAATGCAACATCCCTGAGTGGGTGGCCCTTGGGCCAGCACCCCTTGGGGAACTAGGAACGAGGATGCAAAGATGAACAAGACGGGATGCTTCCCTGGAGGAACTTAACTTGACCTTGACCTTAGAGAGAAAGGAAAGAGGAAGGATGAGTTGCTAAATGCAACTCAGTAAGAGTTTGGAAAGGATTGCTAGAAAAATCATGCAAAGTACCACTGAGAACTGATCCTCTGGCTGACATCACCCTCAAGACAGCCTGTCCCAAGAATGTCACTCTGTGTGGTGGTTATGTTTGTGTGTCAACTTGGCTAGGCCTGGTTGAGTGGCTGGGCAGCTGGATATAATACTCCCCATGATGAGACAGGTAATCAACTACGTGGTGAAATCTACTATGAGCAGCTGAGTAGCTGCCTTTGGGTATGTGGTCTGCTTCCTGTATATAAGGAGAAGTTTTGAGAGAGGTCTCTAGCCTTTGGCACGCTTGGACCCTGCATGTAGCCGTGTCGTTGCTCAGCAGCCTGCTATGCTCTGCCGACCTTGGGACTTAAAGTGGACTTAAGTTAATGGCCTGCCATGTGGTTTGGTAACATCAGGACTGTGCCTTTTTACTCGTCAGCCTTGGGCTTCTCAGCCTCAGCAGCCAGCAGCTGTCTGAGTGAAGAAATGCCTCTAGCTCCAGTGGGCCGGGAGTTGGAGGCAAAGCTGGACCCCAAGGTTGAGGGACTTTCACCCAGCCCCTAGAGCTTGGCACTTTGCACTTGGACTTAAAGCCTCCAAATTGTAAGAGTAAACTCCTGTTTGTTAAGGCCACCCCATCTGTGGTATTTTCTTGTCAGAGCAGCACTAGGGAGCCAGAGCACTCTAACTCAGTCGTGTCGCCACCAGCTGTGAACTCCAGGAGACTTTATTCTCAGCCCCATGAAACCAAAACCAAACCCACTGCCAGCAAGTCAATTCTGACGCATAGCGACCCTACAGGACAGAGTAGAACTGCCCCACAGGGATTCCAAGGCTGTAAATCTTTACAAAAGTGGACAGCCAC